TTTAAAAACAATATTTACCAAAATTCTAACTGTTTTTTTTTTAAATTTGTTAAAAAATCATTTTTTTTTTCAAGCGGCCATGATATGCAACCTTATATGCATGTATAGAGATAGTTGAAGTGCGTCTTTTTCATTAGCGGCAGACAAAAAAAGCAAAAAAGCTTAGGGATAGAAGTAAATCCATAGGCGACTCAATAGACGTCAAATAATAAAATTAATTTAGCATTTCATACAAAGCAATCACGATGTATTAATTATATTAATTATAATCGCACGGAATATTTAGTGATTATTTATTAAATTTTAATTGAACGAAATAAAGAACAACTAGTTTATTAGTATAATATAATGATGATAGACGAGTCGCCAATGTCGGAACTCCAAACAAATGTCAGTAGGTACGTCAAAATTAATTCAAGCGCAGCATTTTGACAGAGCAGGGTTAATTTTTAGTTTAGGCTTTGTTATTGTTAAAATATGTTGCATTTATATTTTGAATTTGTGTGTTGATTATTTTCACATCTGCTTTAAGTTTTTACTGCAAAAGAGACATTTTGGGTGGTCACTTTCTTTGAATGTTTAGCATATGGTTTTTGTCACATATTTCTCCGGAGAGGTTAAAAGGTATAAAGCTCGATTAGTTGCAAAAGGATTTTTTCAACGACCTGGAATTGACTATTTTGATACATATGCACCTGTAGTGAGATATGAATCGGTAAGGTTGCTCTTAGCACTCGCGGCAGAACGAGACTATGAAATTATGAAGTTTGACGTAAAGACAGCTTTTCTTTACGGTCAACTTCAGGAGGAGATATATCTGGAACAGCCTCCCGGATACTGTCAAGATGATAATTCGGTCTGCAAACTACATCGGAGTCTTTACGGATTGAAACAGTCCCCACGCTGCTGGAATGAAAAATTCGTCGGTTTCCTAAAGACTTTTAGTTTCGCTAGTTGTGAAAGTGATAAGTGCGTGTTTATGGGCGTTGTTAAAGGTTTCGCGGTTTATTTAGCGTTATACGTTGACGACGGGCTGTTAATGTGCGAAAATCGTGACGCGATACTGGAAGTGCTAGAGTACCTCAAAAGTAGTTTTAAGATACCTAACTGTAAATAGTGCATGCGAGTTTTTAGGCTTTCAAATTATACGCAATCGCGAGCAGCGCTCGTTAAAAATTTGTCAACCTTTATATATAAATAAGCTATTATATAAGTTTAATATGCAAAACGCAAAATTTTCTAGCATACCTGCTGAGCCAGGTATTTACCTTAACAAAGATAAATTATCAGACTCTAAATCTTTTAATAAAAGCAAGGTACCTTATCGTGAAGCAATAGGCTCTCTTCTTTTCGCAGCAAGAATAAGCAGACCTGACATTGAATTTGCAGTAAACTATGCCAGTCAGTTTGTCGAGTCTTATAATCAAGAACATTGGAAATTTGTGCAGAAAATTTTGCGTTATTTAATGGGCACGGTTGATTTTGGAATTACATTTAGAAACAGTGGGAGCTTAATTTGTTTGCAGGGATTTACTGATGCCGATTATGCTGGCTGTTTAGATACGCGAAAATCCAGAAGCGGTTTTGTTTTCTTTTATAATGGGGCTCCAATTTCTTGGTCGAGTCAGCGTCAAAGTGTAGTTTCATTATCAACCGCTGAGGCCGAATATATAGCTTTATCTCACGGTGCCAAAGAGGCTGTTTGGTTGCGCCAGTTTTTAACAGAACTAAATATTGATTGCAATGCTTTTACAATATTTGTCGACAATCAAGCAGCAATCCAACTAGCCTCAAATGCAGAGCACCATAAGCGTTCCAAACATATTGATGTGAGATATCATTATATTCGAGACCTTGTAAATAAAAACCTTTTAGAATTAGAATATGTTAGCTCTAAGGATCAGTTAGCTGATATTCTTACAAAACCGATAGCTAAACAACAGTTTTGTTACTTAAGAGATAAATTATGTATAATTTAGGACATTCAAAATAAGTGGGAGTGTTAAAATATGTTGCATTTATATTTTGAATTTGTGTGTTGATTATTTTCACATCTGCTTTAAGTTTTTACTGCAAAAGAGACATTTTGGGTGGTCACTTTCTTTGAATGTTTAGCATATGGTTTTTGTCACATATTTCTAGTGTAAGCAATACTTTAGGGTATATCTTTTAAAGTTAGTTGATTGTATATCGTCGGCACAGCAAGTTGCTTTTTAACTTTGTTCTACATTTTCGTTTCTGTACTTTTACACTTTTATTTGTTATAATAAACATACATTGATTTCGCTCTGAGCTAGTTGAATTATTTATTTATTCCAATAAATATTTAACAGTTATCTATGGTTTAGGATATTTATCGGCATTGTAAGTAAGGGTTATAAGTTTTTTTAGTTTTTATCAATAATTTGTAATGCTTTTAGCCAAAATTTTATACCACATGAGTTATAAGTAAATAAAATAATTCTATTGCTTATCCTATTTATATTACGCCCTTGAAAAAAAAATTGTATATGTTATTTGGAGTAGAAGCTCTTTTTTTGCTTCGTACAGTTACCTGCCTCAGCTACGCTTCGGCCGTCAATCTCTGTACTCACCACAAAAAGAGCCACTTCTACTCCTTATGACATAATCTACTATTTTTTATACAAAATGGCATTCTTATTAACCTTTTATAAAAAAATAGATTTTTAATAAAATTAAATAAAATAACGCTTGGAGAATATTTAAAATGTTGTTCAATTTATGCTTTCTAGTAGTTTTCAATTTTGAACGAAAAACTGGTTAAAGTTTTTTGATCGCCACTCTTTGGAGATTTAAAAACAATATTTACCAAAATTCTAACTGTTTTTTTTTTAAATTTGTTAAAAAATCATTTTTTTTATAAATAATTATAATTATTTGTACACCGATTTTTAATGATTGCAGTTTCTTATTTAGGACCTTTTGGTAACTTTAAAATGATATTTACGAAAATCCTAGCTGCTCCTCTTTTCAATTTTTTTTTTTAAATTTTTGTTTATCTTACCTTTGACAGAGTACACATTTGTACACCGATTTTTATAATATTGTTAACGAGACTTGAAGAATACTGTTTTCATACTGAGCACATCATTAGATTTATACAGTGTTAGCCAAAAATCACTTTTTTATACAAGGTGACCCTAAACTTAGTGGCATAAATTTAGGAGCAGTTTAAGCAATTAAAAATAAGTCGAAAATCTAAATAAATAGTTTTCCTAATTACGTATGTTTAAAAGTTACAAGGTGATAAAGTGTTACTTATCATATCAGTTTTTTTAATATAACTTCTACTATGGTAGACTTGGAAAGGTGATATTTTGCGAACAGTCGCTTACTACCAAAACACATATTCACACATAATTACAATTGTTTGAGTGAACACAGTGTCGTAGAAACGGGGGTTGCTTTAAGGTTATTGTCCCATACAAACTTTGAGGTTAGGTTTTTGTAACATTTGATGCAATTTATCGATTAAACAGTTCGGCTACCATTAAAAAGGTGTACCTCTCAAACTTCGATAAAATAAACCGTTTCCGAGATATTTGAGATTACAATAATTGTTTTATCGCATTATTTAAAAGGATTAAAAGGTATATGATAACAAATTTTATTTTTTAATTGAAAAAACTAAAAAGGGCATTCCATGAGCCTCGGGACTTTTTGCCCTGACCGTCACATTTAAAAAAATGTAGTTTTTTCAATGAAATTTTTTTTATCATATAACTTTTAGTCCTTTAATGCGATATAACAATTATTGTAATCCCGAATATCTCGAGAACGGTTAATTTTATCGAAGTTTGAGAGGTACACCTTTTTAATAGTAGCCGAACTGAGTAATCGAAAAATTGCATCAAATGGTATAAAAACCTAACCTCAAAGTTTGTATGGGACAATAAGATTAAGCAACCCCTGTTTCTACGACACTGTGTTCACTCAAACAATTGTAATTATGTGTGAATATGTGTTTTGGTAGTAAGTGACTGTTCGCAAAATATCACCTTTCCCTACCATAGTAGAAGTTATAATAAAAAAACTGATATGATAAGTAACACTTTATCACCCTGTATCTTTTAAACATACGTAATTAGGAAAAATATTTATTTAGATTTTCGTCTTATTTTGACTTGCTTAATCTGCTCCTAAATTTATGCCACTAAGTTTAGGGACACCTTGTATAGTAAAAAGCATAATGCACAAAAAAGATTTATCTCCAAAAAATCTTATTTTATTTAATTTTATTCAAAATCAATTTTTCTTATAAAGTCTTAATAAGAATCCCATTTTGTAGCCTGATAAACATAAAAATATCTAATTTATATATTTTTTGCGTGTTATGCCAAAATCATGAAGTTACGCTTTTGCTTTATTAAAAGAAGAGATTTTTGGCTAACCTTGTATATATTAAATGATGTGCACATTATAAAAAAGCATTCTCCAAATCTCCCTAACAATATACTCCAATATTATAAAAATCGGTGTACAAATGTGTACTCTGTCAAAGGTAGACTTTAAGATAAACAAATATTTTAAAAAAATCATGACTTTTCAAAAAATTTTGAAAAGTGGAGCAGCTAGTATTTTGATAAATATCATTTTTATATCACCAAAGGGTCCCGAACAAGAAACTGCAATCAGTTTTTGGCGGCATTTTTATGTGACTTAAACTTCGTTCAGGCACACCGTGCAGTCGTTATCGATAAGGAAAAATCCTTATCAATAACGGATTTCTCTTCTAGGAAAAATACGGTTTACCTATTAAATTTTTTTTATCAGTGATAAGGTATTATTAGTAAACACTTCAAATCCGTTATTTCTTATATCAGATGTGCTAAGAAGTTTTGAGGTAAATTCAAATTTTATTTATATTTTTTTCTTTTATTTCGTTAAAATTGAAAGAAAATGCATCGTTATTGACGTTAAAGAAGGTATTAATAGCCTTAAAATGAAAAAAGAATAAAAAACGTAATTCATTGTTTCAGAGAAATGCACCGTACAAAGATTAAAAAGGAAATCGGGAAACACAAAAACCTCGGGATGCATCGACGAAGAGTTCAGCATGTACGTTGATAATTTAGGAAACAACCATAAGCTGGCGTACAAAGACCGCAACCTAACGCTCTCAGAGGCCGGGTTCAGGGAAAAAATGTTCGAAAAGTGGCTCGAACACAAAGAAGACTACGACTTGGTCTCGATTTTAGCGGGACTGCAAGCGGCGATGCAAAGCCTTTGCGAAAACCTGCTTTTGCTGGATAGAGTGGAGTTTTTGAAGGAGCGCGGGTACAAATCGCACGTTGAAAGAGTGACGAACGATTGTATTTCGCCCCGATGTTACGCCCTGATTGCGGAGAAGTGAGGATCCGATGCCACAAAGGGGCGAACAATTATGTGTAATGGTGAGCCTTGGAGCGAATAATTATTTGACACACTGTAAATGGTTTTATAATTGTTTACATCTTGCACATCTTATAATAACATTGTATCAGTATGTGTTTTGGAGCAGCAAAATGAATGTCTTGGATTTTAAGAACTAGTATTATATATTTTCTTTGAAACATTTTTATTTCACTTAATTGACAAAACCAAAATCGTGTATAAGAGGCCTGTCAGAGCAAAGTCAACAATCTCCCGTCAGACTAAAACTGAGTAAATTGAGATAATTGATTTTGGTATTTTAAATTCTAGATTTGTAATTTTTTTTATATATTATATTGAAATATTGTTGTTGTTAGCAAACTACAAGGTCTCCAGGATGCATAGTATAGGTGAAATCTATAATTATAAATTGGAGATTGCTGACTTTGATATGAATTGCTGGAGATTGCTCATTTTGTTGTAAACGTTTAAGGAGATTTAGAAAAATAAACAAAAAAATAATTGTATTTTTTTCCTTTAATGGTTATAAAATTTAACTATACAATCAATGTGGGAAAATTCTGAACTGGACCACATAAATCTGGAGTTTCTTCTAAATCTGGGACCAGGTTGCCTCGTGCAAAAAAGTTTTTATAGTACAACAACTCATCATCTTCTTCCCACTTTGCCCCGTAATGCAATGTTTTGACATTATCAGCCTTTTCTTGCTTTACCTTTACGTCTTATTATGGTATAATAGCACAAAATAAACAAGATTACTTTTTTTATAATTCTTAAAACAATAAAACGTATATATACCTATTTTAAATATATTTTTAAGTGCAATTTACGGCAATAGAATTTAACAGTATGTACCAGTAAAAAAACACAAAATTAAATCTCTAAAATACGTTATAACATCAAATGTTAGGGTCAGGTGACACAAATTACTAATTTTTAATGGTGGAATTGGAGATTGTATACTTTGCTGCAAATCTATCAGTGGAGATTGTCGACTTTGCAATAAATGTCATTTTTAAAATAGGATTTTAGGCAGGATTTAGCTCCTTTTGCAGCACATAAACTTTATCATTTTATATATAATTAGTTGTAGTAGTCTCCGCCAAAAATCTAATTTTTGACCAAAAGTGGAGATTGTCGGTTTTGCTATGACAGGCCTCATATATTCTATTTATATAATAATAATAATAATAATGGTTCCCTAGGAACAGGGTTCAGAATGTATGTCTGTGAATATTTTGTTAAGAGTGACCAAACCTTGTCCTTATATTTAATGTCTACTTCATCACAAACCACCTAAGTAAAAACAGCTTTGTTATAAAATACACTGGAGTTTAGCATTACATATAAAAGAACTCTGTAACCCATGTAGTTTATAACTTTGGCACGAGATGGCGCCGCTGCAGGCAATGGTATCGCTATTGTTATTTTGCGTGTTACAAACAAGCATAGTGTGTTTTTGAAGGTTATCTTTCGTCACGGCATTTATACGGAAGTATTTGCAGTATTTAATTTTCTTTTTCATGTAAAATTAACCAATTTCTTTCTTTTTACGAATGCAATGTTTTATGTGCATTTACTGGGTCACTTGCACTGCTATCGCTACGACATTAAAACTTAAAAATAAGAGACTCTGCTGAGGGTAACCTTATAATTACCTTAAGTTTGCCTAAATAATAGTCATAATGGATTTTAAAATTTGAAATATTTATTTTTAAGAGGTAGATAGGGATGGAAAATGTAATTATTACAATAAAAGTTTGAAAATTGGTAGACGACATTTAGATTCTATGAAATGAATTTTGCTGGATCCTAAAATGACCATCATTTTGCTTAATCAGCGATTGATTTTTCAAAATTGCAAAAAAAAATGTATTGCCAGAAAAATATTCATTGGAACATAGCATTTAACATTGATTTGTTGACGGATTTAATCCTTTAATTTATCTGTATGGCGCTTATTTTCGTAAACACTGGTATCCCCATATTAAAAAACACATGATGACAAATCAGTAGACCAAGGGGCCGCCTAACACGTCACCTAATCGCTAAATAAAGTGGTCGGATTCCAGCAATTACATTTTATAGACCAAAACTGACAGTTTTTATGATTATGCCATGATATCCCAAATTGAATTTTTCATGATTATTTCAAAACCACTTGGCTCCTAGGCTCCACCCTATATAATCATCCATATTTGTTAAAAATGTACTTATAATAAAGTAATATTTTAAAGAACAAATTGTTTTATTAACATAATGGTTTGAGGAATTTGTTCCATATGTATACCTAATAATAATTTAAAACTGTAAACAAATATATTATTATGCAAAATATGTGCCTCAATGTTTCTCATCTTATGATGTAGACCTTCGATTTTAGATAACCCCACAAAAAAATCAAGTGGCGTTAAATCAGGAGACCGATCCGGCCATTTGGTAGGACCACGCCTACCAATTCTCCTATTTGAATAAGTCTGCCACTGTCTAACATACCTAAAATATTGTGCGGGCGCTCCATCTTGTTGGAATATTACTTCCATCTCAAATTTGTCAGAATTAGCTCGAACTATATCATGAATCATTGGATAAATTTGTGTTTGAAGCATGCCGTAAAACGGGGCGATTTCGGACAGCCGGGGCCACTTCGGACATCATTACCTTAAAGCTATTAAAAATTCGCGATTGGGACGTCTGACGTAACAGAGTTCTGTAATTTGGGAAAAAACTTCGTAGAAGATGGCTAAAGCTATGGCAAGAGGCACGTGGGTTCGGTTGTTAAGTGAAGTAGGCTTTTTGCATCGTTTAGTCTGGAGTTCAAACTTTACTTCTTTTATAAGTAGGTAAAAGTAACTGGTGCCAGCAATTAGGTATGCACTGTATGATCAAAATAATATAGATTTTCGGTAGTACGTAATTTTTTTGATAAATTATTTTTTTTTGGTTTAGGTTTGTATCACATTAACTTTTATACAGGGTTGTAATACAAATATTTGCATTTTATGGGGCGACTTCGGACATGGTTAGGGTCTATAAAAAAATGTTGGAGAGCAATTTTTACAGAAACTATACGGAGGACAATTTTTTTAATATACTATAGTATTAGGTATAAGAAGAAATATATTTGTTTTATTGTTTTGATCCTCAGAATTCAATTTTATTTTATATTTTGATAAATAAAATGCCCTTTTCCATTTGAATGAGTTTTTACCTAATTTCATGCTTTTTTTCCTAATTTTATGTTTTATACTATTTTTTAAAGCAATATTTCTGTCCGAAGTCGCCACTGTGCTGTGCTAGCTTCGATTATATACATTTTACAACGCTTGTCCGAAATCGCCCCACCTTAAGGGGTGACTTCGGACAGACTTTGACAAAAAAAAAGTAGTATTAGTATTTGTATGACTATTATAATTTTTACGTAAACTTATACCGGAAGGATGCCAAAATCAACTGTAAAAAAAATAGTTCAAAATAACAAACATTACCGATTCAAAATTTGAAAAAACCTTTAAAATCGTCCGAAGTCACCCCGTGTTAAATGTATTTCTAAAAAGATGGGTCCTACAATATGGTTTCCCAGTCCTGCCCATACATTAACTTTTTGTGGGTACTGGGTATGACCTTCACGATAAACATGTGAATTAACATCTGACCAGTAATGTACATTTTGCCGATTTACAGTGTCATTTAGGAAAAAAGTGCATTCATTACTAAAACAGATTTCATTAAATACCCACCTTGCTTGGAGCAAATTCAACATAAATAAAAATTGCTTTTGTTTTTTCCTCCAACTGGAGAGCGCGAACCATTTTCCAACGAAAAAAAAAAATAGTGTTACACCAAAGAGTACAATTATTTATAACCGCCTTAAAACTACAGTGGTACTTTTAAAGTGCGTATATGTATAAGGAACATAGTATTACACTCGAGATAATATCTCGATATATTATAATAATATACTATTATAGACATAAATAGAAATGTCATTTATAATAATCCGGTGATTAAAGTCCGCTTGACAACCAGTTAAAACCTCAGTAATGTCACAACTTTTTTAAATTTGAATCTACCGTTGATTATTTCCCTCATTATAATATGAACCAATCAAAAGCCTTGAAATTTCGAATAAATTTCGTTTAAATAAGCGATTAAATCACTAGAACTATTTAACAGCGATTAAATTTTAGCCTCCATATTCGATTTTTGTTTACGATTTTATGGTGTTATTTACAAGTTTTAACAAACATTTTTTAAAAAACAATAAAAAATAAGTTATCTAGTTTACGAAATATCAATTATTACTTATTACATACCTTAAATTAATGGAATTTTCTTTTAAAAAATATTTATAAATTTTTACACATACGTCAGATTTTATGAATTGTCAAATAGTTTCCTTTAATTCGAGAAATAATCTAGACGTATATCACTCAACCTATAAATTTAATCTGTCAAACTATGCTCAGTAAGTTTTTTATTTGATTTTTATTTTTGGAAAATAGTTTCATGCAAAATAATTAAAAATAAAACCCCTCGACGCTATGCGGTCTCGTGATTTTTTAAATTATTTTGCATTCAACATTTTCCAACAAAACCCAAACAAAAAACTACTGAGCCTAGTTTAACCGATTAAATTCATAGTTCTCGTGATATAATATATGAATATTTTATCTAGTGAAATTTAACTAATTATAATTAGGGGCCGTTCATTAATTACGTGAGACAATTTTGGCGATTTTTCGACCCCCCCCCCCTCCCCTTGGTGAGATGTCGTGAGATTTTGCTCGACCCCCCTCCCCCCCACCTTAATCTCACGTGAGATTTTTTAAAATGCATGGTTTTAATGTAAATAAGTTAATCTGTGCTTGATTCCATTAGATTTATTAAAAAAAAAAACAATTTGCTTATAATTGTTTACATAATTTAACCCAGTTTTCTCGCAATTTTACACTCTTTCTTTCGGAAAAAAAAATTACGTGATATTTGCCGAGACCCCCCCTCCCCCCCCACGTGAGATTTGGTGAGGTTTGGCTCGACCCCCTCCCCCCCCCTAAACACCTCACGTAATTAATGAACGGTCCCTTATTGGAGACTGCTTTTTCACCAAGACAATTGGTCACAAATGAGTTAAATATTTTGTTTAGTTGGTATTAAGTCAAACGAAGTATACCTACATATAAATGTTGTTATTAAATTAAGTATTTTATATTATCAGAAATAATTAATAAATGTTTAAAATTTTCCACAAATCGTAAAAAACCCACCTGTTTTATATGCAAAATTAAATTTAATTGCAAATAAAACGAAAAAAAACAACTAAAAAAAATATAAAGGTATATAAATTTATAGATAATTTTTTATACTTAATAACACACCCGAAAAGCAAATAGTTTTATTTTTTGGTTACAAGTTTTGAAACGCAATGAATTATTTTTGTCTTCTGTTTTTTTCTTTGGCGGTCTTTGTGAACTGTCAAATTAGTGTAAGTATTAAATTAAGTAAGACAATTTTTTTATTACACTGTTCAAAATTTCATTTTAACACCAAATTATCATCATACATGGTCTATATCGATACAAACCAAAATGGTGTTAAATATGGTTCGTTGGTCCGGTGTAAATTTAAATACTAAAATAGTGTAAATTTAACTTTCACAAAGTATTAAAATAAATTTTACCTGGTGTTAATTGAACTCCTTTTCAGTGTTAAATATTATGAGTTTTTGGTCAAATTAAATCATGCTACACAGAAAAAAAGGAAACAGGAAGTTTCTTGACGCATTACTAGTATATTACCAGTGGTATTATTCCAGAAAATTGAACATTCAACTCGCTAGATATAATGTTTTTAGTGCTTTCCACCAACTTCAAATACTTCAAGTATTAACAGCTGTTTCCACCTATTTAAGGCCTCTTTAGTAACGAACAACTTGTAGCAAATAGGGTTGTTGATATTATCGATAATTTAATATTTTTAGATAAACACCGTTTTGGTGTTTGATGTATATAACTTTTTCAACCATAATTCATGGTGTTTATATTATCACCACTTGGTGTTGGATTTTGACACCATTTTAAGATTACTCTTTACACCACAGATATTTTAAACAGTGTAATATTATATTCCGTTGTTACAATGTTAAAAGCTTTTCTAATAATTACAATATGTTTTAACTTTAAAGGAAAATGACAGAATCTTGGTCACATTATTTCAAAGCATTAACCGAGAATGCAAGAAAATTTCTGGAATTTCCGAAAAGGACTACGCAGATATGAATAATTTAATAATTAAAGAAAAGACCACTAATATTGTACACGCGCACTGCGTAATGTCTGAATTGGAAGTAATTGACAGAAACTGTCATTTTAATCGGCCACTGATGAATAGTTACTTACTTGACATGTTTAAAGATCAGAATTTTGCAAACGAAGTTATGGATTCATGCGTTGTTGAGGACAACAACAAGTACCAAATGGTTTATAAATTCACAAAATGTTATTATAACGTTCTTAGGAGTTTCTTTGAAAACCTAACTTTAAATTCTTACTAAATAAAAATTATTATTAATAAAGTTATAAAGTTAATAACTTTTTTAAAATTTTGCAGTTTTTTCTCATTTTTTTTTTAAATTACCAACAAAAAATTTGATGTAAATAAAAATTTTGATGTAAATAACTTGTGTTATTTTATCAACAATTCTTTTTAATTCTTCATGTAGAGAAGACATAAAAAAGAAGTTCTGACGTATGGCGTCAAAAACATTTCGATGTCCGATATCAACAAATAGTTTTCTTTAGATATCAATTTAATTTTATATTCATTCAGTTTTCAATTCACTTTGTAAGCGTTCTTCAATCAAAACAACTATAAGTAAAATTGCAATATGTCGCAGGGTTTTTTTGACAAATTGTTGTCGAGTTTTTTACAATATAATACAATTATAGGTAACTATCACAGTCGGTAATAATATAGAACTACTTTATTTTGGGTCCAACATGGGACAAAAAAGTTCGCACGTTACTTTGGTGGTAAGATTTTTGTTTTTTTAGTTAAGAGCAGGGCTGTGTTTAAATTACAATAAAAATATTTCTAAAACGTGTACATATCATTGTGTGGTATAAATGTGTTCCTCATGGTTTAAACATTGTCACTTTAATGCGTTTTAATTTTAATTCTGAAAAGAAACAGTAAATTGGCCACTGTCCAATTACTGGTTACTAAAAAATGTAAATTTCTATTATTGGACATATGTCAAATATCACACTCTATTTTTATACCAGCCAATTATTTTATTAAATTGTCCCCTGAATGCAAAAAGACCGTCAAAAACTATAAAAGTTAAGCAGTTTTGAGATATAGTCAATTCCATATTATTTGTAAAATTGATTATATTTCAAAAACTGTTAAACTTTTATAACTTTTGACGACATTTTCTGATTCAGCGAATAATATTTCATAAGAATTGACTGCTAAATGTCCTGGATACGAATTGCTGTTGACGAGAATTATTAGTGGCTGCTTTTTCGCTATGACATTTTTGACTAATTCATTTTTAGATAGTAAGTAATATAGTGATTTCTTCGTCAAAGGACATCTTGCAGAATAACAGTGATTTAAATACAGTGCATGATAGAGAACATAAAAAACTAATGTCAACAAAATTAATAAAGAATACTTTTAACATACCACCCGAAAAAAAATTAGATATATATATATATAAATCATCCTGTTCCGGCCTAAACATTATAAATGCTTCAGAAACTAGAGATACCACACTTAATGATATTTACAACAAACTATTTTAGAAGTCAGACCAAAGAATTAGTAGTTACCTTCAGAATCCAGAAAAGGGGTGAGGAATCCAAGAAAGAAATATATGAATTATATGATAGGTATTTACAAAAACGAAATAAAAAAAATACCTAAAACAGCAATTTATCTTTAAAAAATATATAACAATTTATGTTATTTGATGTAATGTTGTTATGTTTATATAAAAATTGTATGTCCAATAAATATGGTCCATGTGTCCAATTAATATATAAAATGTCCAATTACTATACTGTTTTGCATTTTTGCATAAAACTATTATTAAAAATTCAAATATTCTTATTTTTAAGTAAACGTAAATAAAGTTTATACCTACAAACAAACTATCCTTTTTATATATTTATAAGAAAAAAACTAAAAACTTTAAAACAACGGCATATATAAATTTCAAATAAATAATATTCCTTAAGTGTCCAATAACTATGTGGTTTACCCTATTAATAGAGCGGCCAGATGTAACAAAATAAAACGCAGTGTTAAACATAAATATTTATTGCACATTAATGTTTTACGTAATTTTTAATAAAATATAATTAAGGCAATGTCCCACCCCCAGCCCTAGGGTAAGACACTGCCCAAGTAAGTAGGAAATGTCAATAATCAAATACATATTACACGTGATTATTAAACTATTTTTATGAATTTATTTTTTATATTTATTTTTTTGTCCAATTAGGCTTCATCGAAATTAGTTGTAGGTTCTTTCCTGAAAAAAAAGTAGTTAAAATAATTAATATTTTAAATTTCTATATGGGGAAAACATTTTTTGTACATTTCTCAGAAAATTACGTATTTTGTACTTAGTATTTATCATCCATTTTTTAAACTACTATATTATATAAAAGCATATTTAATTTAATTCGTGGCTGAAATATTTATCGCGTCGATAAATATTTAAAATTTTGTATTCATAAATTATACTCGTTTAGGTGCCCTTGGTTTTTGCCATTTATACCTATTTTTCTGACAGTTATCTAATTTCTCGCAAATCATTTACTTGTCAATTTTAACTATTGAGTTTATTACTGTATGCGTCAGACTGCACCACCAACATAATAATATTAAATTTTTATCTTATTTTTTATTATTTTTCGCGTTGAAATTAAAAACTAAAAAAAAATGGTGTATACACGGTGAGTCATTTATCTTGAAACTTTAAAATATCTCAGTTAGTATGCATTTTACGAAAAAATGTTTAAAATAAAAATTAAATGATTCGAGGGTGGAAATCAATCAGTACTAAAATTGGTCCTCATACTTTCCTCCTTATAGGGGGAACAGGGGGTAACTTTAAATTTCCAATGGAACACCATATTTTTTATTGCAGATTCGGATTATTCGACTAAAAATAGGTAGATTTTGTCAAAAACATATTTTCATATTTGTAATAGATGGCGCTGTAATGAAAAAAAATCAATTTTGTTCGATTTTTCTTCTTATACCATTCTGCAATAATTTTTCTATAAAAATATCACTTTTTTGGTAATAATTATCTTATTAAATTAAATCTGATTTTTTTAAGTACCCACGATTTTTTAACTAATATTTAAGTTTCCTTTGATTTAAGTTTTATCCATTATTTCATTCGGTGATAATTATCAATTGCGCACCATGGTCACTTTTTACCTGCCAGCATCCTTTAAAGGATTATTGTACTATTTTTAATAAAAATACCTCATTTAAGGTAAAAAAAACATTATTTTGTAAATTAATTAATTTAATCCCAATTGAGGTATAAAAAATGGTTATAAATAATAATTATTATTGAGGCATAAAGAAACTATTTATAGTTTAGCATTATTTAATCAATTTAGTTCAAAGATTTATTTGCAAACAAAAAGACCTCCTTTCGTTAAGCAGTTATTCGTAATGGATTTTTTAACTGTGGAAGAAAAAATAGAAATGATTTTGATTTATGGAGAAGCAGGCAGGTATCTTGATGATGCTGTTTATATCTATGCTCAGCGTTTTCCGGAAAAAAATCCATCACGTACTTCATTTCACCGTACAGTCAAGCAGTTTACTACAAACGGGAGTGTTCAACCGAAAAAAAGAGTTCGTCGAGCAAATATTTAATATTATTATTTTGAGCACCTTCTTTAATTAAAATTTAAAAAATAAATAAATAAATTTAAAAAATAAAACCAAGTATTTTATTAAAAAATTATTTGAGAATCGTATATCGAAGAAAAATCGAACAAAATTGATTTTTTTTTTCATTCAGCGCCATCTATTACAAATATGAAATTTTTTTTTAGACAGAATCTACCTATATTAAGTCGAGTAATCCGAATCTTCAATAAAAAATAGGGTGTTCCATTGGAAATTTTAAAGTTACCCCCCTGTTCCCCCTAGAAAGGGGAGAATATGAGGACCAATTTTAGTACTGAATGAATCATTTAATTTTTATTTTAAACATTTTTTTCGTAAAATACATACTTTTTTTTTTTTTTTATAATAATTTATTGATGACCTCAAAACAGTTTACAAAACTGGCACCGAGGCCTAAAAAATTAACAAGATATTATTAACATAAATACATACTTACTGAGATATTTTAAAGTTTCAAGTTAAATGACTCACCCTATATATTTATATATACGAGGTGTGTTCAGATAATATCGGGAATTTTTGTTTTTTGAAATAAATATTTATTTATTCGTCTACATTAATGTTGTCGCCTTCAAAATTGTCTCTATTGGATAGAATGCACATGTGCCAGCTCTTCTTCTAATACTCGAAACACTTCTAAAACTCGATCTTTGGGATAGCCCTTAGTTCTTTCAGCGATGCGCTTTTAATGCCATCTATGCTTGCAAAACGACGGCCCTTTAAGGTTCTCTTTATTTTTCGGAATAGGAAAAAGTCAGACAGAGGCATGTCTGGCGAATATGGAGGCTGGGCCATCATTACAGTATTGTTTCTGGCCAAAAATTTTGTTCAAAATTTAACAATTTTATATCAAATTTTGCTGCCATGCGTTTCATACCCAAAACATTCGAAAAAATTTCATGGGATGAGCCAATCGATATACCAACATCATCAGCGACTTCTATGATGGTTTATAACCATTTATTCCACTTTTTCCATGTTTTTATCGGTTGTTAATGTGCTTGTGCGTTCGGGGCGTTCGTCATCTTCAACGTCTTCACGGCCATCTTGGAAACTCTTATACCACTTGTAAACTCTTGTTTTACTTATAGCAGACTCACTTTAGGTCTTTGTTAACATTTCACAGAATTTATTGCATTTTTTAAGCAAAATTGGATACAAATTCTTTGATCCATTTCTTTTAACGAACGAAAAATCGCCGAGCTCATAAAACACGTCTAACCTTAGCGGCTGCCACAGACAAAGTAAACAATGAAAACCGCTAATGTTTTTACCATACTTCGGGGTCATGTATACCAAGAAAATTTTATGACAACCGGATCCTCCGAACCCGCGAAATTTAACAATTCCCGTTATTTTCTGAACACACCTCGTACATATACAGTGGGGCTCATTTAGGATCGAAACACCCCCTAACTTTTTTATTTGTTACTCGATTTTAATGAACAAAGGCTCAAATGATAGAGAATAGAAAACTCTGTCAAAGTTATAAAAAATATTTTCAATGTCACTTTACAGATCCCTACTAGAACATTTTTTCTATGTCAAAATTTAGAAAAAATTATTAGTCGTTGACATTGTTAAATTAATAGGGGAGTCACTTTTTCTATTGAAATTGTGCCAAGTTACAAGACCTGTATATAAGACTGTGTACCTCAAATACCCTGTATGCAAAAATTTGGAACAGAAGACGTAAAACTGCGCAAAGTGAAATTTGTTATTTTAATAAAAGTCAAAAGATACCGGAAATTATTTGTTGCGAGTAATAAACAGGTTTACAACCTTTGTTGGAAAGTTTTTTACTGTGAAAATTTCAGCGTTTACCTACTAATTCAATTTTTCGTTGTTCCCTTCAGAGAACTTAATAAAACCTTATTAAAAATATACACGCCACTTAGGATTATTATTAAAAGTAAACGGAGCGAAAGCGAATGTTAAAAGTTAAATTAATTTGAACTGTGTCTTATAAAACTACAGTAAGTGTGCTTGTAACAAAATATTTAATATTTAATTTAAATATGGATTATCTATATTTAAAACTTAATATTTCTTGAATGAATACTTGGGACGTAACAACAAGAATATTTTATATTTTCGTATTTTTCGCCTTTTTAAATATTTTATTATTTTTAATTAGTTTGCTTTGCCTTTTTTTAATTAACTTGAGTCGCTGAGTTAATCTTAGATTTCCGTTTATCCGGAAAATTTGTATTTGGGTTGTTTTCAAAAAACACCCGGCTTCCGCTGTCCGTAAGTTTGAATTCCAATAACTTTGTTAAAAATTATCGGATCTTATTGATTTAAAAACCAAGTGAAAGCCTAACAAGCCCTTAATAAACTCTTTCAGAAAATGTTTGTTTAGTTATATCAGAATAATTTTTTTTTAATTTTATAACTTGTGAAACACACATTTTCGCATGTCCCATTAGCGTTTTATAAAACTTACATACATGTTTTTTTTAAATATTGAATAACCAGAACTTTGGGTTGCTTTATAGCAATCAACAAGTTATAGAGTAAACAATTTATATATAAAATAATTAATTTTAATCTACTTTTTTTAAATTTGACTCATGTCCTAGACATTTTTTCCGTTGCGTTACGTCCGTCGCGTTATCGATAGAATATTAAAAAAAACATATATTATATATGGCAACTTTTTTGGTACTCACGTGATCAAAAAATGATGTTCGGACGTACACATTACCCAGCTGAATTTATTTATTTCATTAGGAAGAAGATCGGTTGAAACAGGTGCGGGTAACGCGAATGTAATAATTGTTTGTCCGATAAGTTACTCAAAAAAATAATAAAAATAAGGTAAGAAAAAATACTATTTTTCATGTTTATTATTATTTTTTAAATATTGTTTTACAAAACTTTGTCCACTGCTTTACCTTATGGTTCTGGGATTCTTTTTTACGTTATCTGATTAAGTCCTTTGTGTACCCCTGTCCGTTGTGATACCAATGTCTATTTCGTTACTTTTTTTAGTTTTTGTTAAAAAAAATACTTTTTATACACTATCACTTGGTAATACGTGTTTATAAATTAGAGTTTAATTCACTAATACAGTGACTAAAAGAAAATATTAATGGTATTGTTTTTTTAACAAAGAATCGGAATGGTTTCTTTTAAAAAGTAACTTAACGAACATACATATTTAAAAAAAAAGGATACAATTTTTAATAAAAAATAAAATAAAAAATTGGAGTCAAAAGTTTGTGAACTAAGTACATTTTATTTCAAATTATTTTTATAACAAAAATTTTTTTTTATTGAATTAAATTTTGGATTTCAAATTGGTAATACAGTAGAGATATATAAAGCTGGCTAAACACATTTTTCTGAAAAAAACGTAAAAAAAAGCTAGCTAAACACATTTTTCTGAAATTTATAAAAATCCAACCAAAAGTCAATTTAAGCAAAAAAAATATTTTGATCTTCATTTTCCTGAAAGCGGGTGTTTCTTGAAAACAAAGTATTTTATTATAAAACTTATAATATTTTAAATTCGTATGATATATTCCAGCAAAACAATTTTATCGAAATTCATTTTGCCCATACATTTCCAAAACCCCATACTCCTTCAAACAGATAAAAGTATAGGCCTGAACATATATCCTTATGTAAAATTCCTAAGCCGCCGCAGATTATTTGCAATTGCTTTTCTTAACATCCATCTCTCGCATTCGCCCATATAAATTATAGATAACCCAACAGCCACTTGACTGACAAAGTACATTGTACTTGCAATGTGGTTAATGCGATATTAATTTTTAATGACATCGTCTGCCACGCAGATTATCTGCATCATGCACACACAATGTTTAGTTGTCGATTTTTAAGCATTAAAATAAAGTACCTATGCATTTTAGAGTTCATATTAATAAGTATAATGAAACTATGTTTCGCATTCGATAACATATAAATATATCAGGCCCAAATAACCATAAAATTTTTGAGCAGTTTTAAAACTAATTTTGTTGAGCTGAGACAATTTTTGGCGCTTCGTTTCTTTTAAATAAACTTTATCCAGTTAAATTTATAAGAAAACTGATGTTGGCATAGCATGTTAAGTTATTAAAAGATTTGTATGTTAAAAAATAGCATTTAAAAAGGGAACTTACCTCACATTGCAGCGATAGAAGTTTGAAATGCCCGTAAAGGAGCAGGACAAATTTTCCCCTTCAATACAACGTGATTTGGGAACAGGATAAACTAGAGAGGAGTTTGGACTCCAGCTTGACCTTTTTCCATACCTTAAAATCACATCAAATATTAATGATTTTAGCTGTAAATAAAGTCTCTATATTATATATTTATAAAAAATGTATGTAAAATTGTCCCCTGCATCCGAAAAGACCGTCAAAAACTATAAAAGTTAAGCATTTTTTGAAATATATAGTCCATTCTAAAATTGATTATATTTCAAAAACTGTTATAACTTTTGACGATATTTTCGGATTCAGCGAATAATATTTCATAGGAATTGACTGCTAAATGTCCTGGATACAAATTGCTGTTGACGAGAATTATTAGTGGCTGCTTTTTTGCTATGGCATTTTTGACTAATTCATTTTTAGAAAGTAAGTAATATATTGATTTCTTCGTCACAGAACATCTTGCAGAATAACAGTGATTTAAATACAGTGCATGATAGGGAACATAAAAGTAATGGCAACAAAATTAATAAATTCGGAAAATACTTTTAACATACCACCCGAAAAAATATTAGATATATATAAATCATCCTGTTCCGGCCTAAACATTATAAATGTTTCACAAACTAGAGATACCAAACTGAATGATATTTGCAACAAACTATTTCAGAAGTCAGACCAAGGAATTAGTAGTTACCTTCAGAATCCATAAAAGGGATGAGGAATCCGAGAAAGAAATATATGAATTATATGATATTTACAAAAACGAAATAAAAAAAATACCTAAAACAGCAATTTATCTTTAAAAAATATTTAACAATTTATGTTATTTAATGTAAAGTTGTTATGTTTATCTAAAATATATATTTATCTAATATATATATTTATATAAAATATCCAATAACTATACTTTTTTGCATGTTTTTATAAAAGTAATATTAAAAATTCAAATATTCTTATTTTTAAGTAAACGTAAATAAAGTTTGAACAAACAAACTATCCTTTTTATATATTTATAAGAAAAAAACTAAAATATTTAAAACAACTGCATATATAAATTTTAAATAAATAATATTCCTTATGTGGTTTATTTCTGTAGTATATGTAATAAGCATACTTTGTTGTTTTTTAGTATTTGGACTAGTAAAAAGTTAAATAATCCCTGCGTAAAATTTCATTTTTTTCTAAACGTATGGATTAATACTTATCCTCTCTGCGTATGATTTTTTAACCTTTTTTGATTAATTATTGTCTGCTAACATGTCTATTTTATTATTTGGCTTTAACGCTACTTTTCCCAATCAAAAACAGTGCCAAATACCTTATTCATTCAATTCAAAACTTGACAGATTAATCTAAAATTTTGACAGTAATTGTTTCCTTTTTTGGAGTCCTTTACGTTACGAGAATCTATAAATGGCACTATGAAATTTCGTAGTGTTCATCTTCTACGGGAGGAAGGAAGGCAATATATAATGCAGGCTTAAATGTTATAAATTTTGTCTTACAAATGTATCAATTTAAAATTGTTAAAAATAAAAAGTTTTGGTTTCAGTTTGTAAAGAGTCATTTAAATGATAGTTTTAATCGAAAAATTACCACTTTAAAGTTTAAAACTTACATTTAAATGTAATGTGAGAATTTTTGTATTAAAAGAATCGACTATCATTTAAATGACTCTTTACAAATTCAAACCAATAATTTTGAAGAATAAAATATTAAAATTAAATTTTTTAAAAATTTACCATGAGTTTAAAAAAATTAACTTTGCAAACTTCTGTCAAAACATCATTAAAGTGCTAAACTATTATCTAAAAAATACTTAAAGGGCGTACCATAGAAAACGCTATTAATAACCTTCTTTATCTTTGCTATAAATATTTGTTTAGTGATAAATCAAATCACTCAGTGATCAGGGTTTGTTTAATTCGTGTGTTTATTATATTTCACATTCTTTATACTGTATTTGGCTAATATAGAACGACTTTCTAATTTGCCAATATGTCAAGTAAACATCTTACTACAGGTTTGTATAATTTCGTAAATTAAAATAACAAAGCAATATACCTATAGTGAATAAAATTATTGCATTTCAGGCGATCCCCTTCCAGATTTAGCCAAGGACAAAATAACGCTATTTTCCATGTTGTTTTGTCCATTTGCTCAGCGAGTAAGACTGATTTTGGAGTACAAAAAATTAGATTACACAGTCGTCAACGTAAATACTAAAAGTAAACCCGATTGGTTGGTACAGTTGAACCCTATGAGCCAGGTTCCAATACTTCACATAGATGGCGCTTTCATCAGCGGAAGTGTGGAAATATGCGAGTTTCTGGATGAAAAATATCCAGAACCGAGTTTGGATGCTAATATCTTGGATAATAGTAGCTTGGTGAGCAATATAAGTCCGCTTATTTCACTGTATTATAAGGCTGCATGGAAAAAGGATGATAAATCTTTTGAAGAACATATGAATGGAATGAAGCCACAACTGGAAGAACTGGAAAATAAGTTGAAGGATAGCGATTTTTTTGGAGGCAACGCACCAAAGTTTGCGGATTTTATGATATGGCCATGGTTTGAAAGGGCAGGAGTATTATCCATTACATACAATGAAAAACTGCCTTACAATGAGTTTCCTATGCTAACCAAATGGTGTGAGGACATGAAGAAACAGGAATGTGTTTCCAAAGTATTAATTGAACCCATTAGACACTACAAAGCCACCCAATTTCATTTAGGAGCCCCTCCATTGTATGATGAGATATAAAATAATATATAATACTACCTATTATAATTGCATTTATAAGAACAGTGAAGAGGTAAAATTAAAGTATTTCATGTTCCCCTGTTTTTATTACCTTGACATTATATGAAACGCCTCTGCTCTTGGGATTACTTTGTAATATTTTCCGTCCTTTCCGGGGTTGATGAAATTTTTACTGTTGGATCTGCCATATCGCATCATTGTCTTAAATGACCCTGCTGAACAGTAAAAATGCTTGTCCAATATTATATTCAATACAATGAAAAATATTGTTATTTTATGAATAAAAGATGTGTATTTAACATACCTTGTGCACGTTTGTCAGATAAATATCCCTTAGCCAAAGATCCCGCCAAAAAAGCTATTAAAAAGTACACCAGCAGTACTATGGTTCTCCGTGCACACATCTGAAACAAAAAAAAGTGATTTTTTTATACAAAATTTAATGATTTTCATTAAAAACAAAAATTTTAATAATAACAAAGTAAAAATAATTTAATAGGTTATATTAAACAAAAGACTGTAAAACAAAATTTTCTTTAAAGTTAAAAAATATAAAACCCAAGTATAGTATAGTATAGTATAGTATAGTATAGTCACGGCCAAATCTGTATGGGTGCACGTCATCAACGGCATATGACGTCAGCGTTAAGGTCTATTCATACGTGCCCAGACACAATCTAACGCTCGTGTATTGTTGACTGTTTATAGCGGTGGGGGCTGTTATTAAGATGGAATTATAACGTCCTTGTTATAATCTTTTGCATTAACTAATTAGGAGTTTGTTACAGGCAAATTTTTATTAAATGTGTTTAAAGAGAAAACAAACGGAGTTTATTACATTTTTATTACATATGCACATAACAAAAAAATACTAAATTATCAGAAACACAAAAATAATAAATTACCAGTCGTCCTTGTCATCAGAGCAAACCAGCCTTATTTGCACAATCCAGGGATACAATCTTATAAACATAATGTATAATATTATTTATAATAATTTGCAACAAACGATGCTTCCGGACGAAATGTCACAATTACAAAAATACGTCAAATATAAAATGACAGCGACCCATCAATAATATTGAACGGTGCGCGCCAGCCTTAAGCTATTACCAACTGGCACACACAAAAATTACTAAGTGAATGGTTTTATTTTGATAATTTCGTGAAAAAACGTTTTAAAACAAGGAAATTGTTACAGTTCTTGATAAACAATACGCAAATGAATGATTTCTTTTTAATAACACATCAGAATTACGCCTTAAAAAAGCAAATTTAACGGCAGTAACTTTACAATTCAAAGTTGGTAATGCTGACGTCATTATATCTCATTGATGACGTGCACCCATACAGATTTGGCCGTGACTAGCATTACTGATCCCGGCGCATTCGCCATTTTTGAGACTTTGATATTTTAGAAGTCAAGGTATTTCCAAATGTTTTTACCTTGTTGAGATTGATATCGACATTTAAATTTTAAAACTGTATAAATTAGTTTTAATTGTTTAAAAAAAACAAATAATGTTTTTTTAATAACCAAGTATAATTTATTTTAACTTTCATTTAGATATTTATTTATTTTTTTAATCGGCATTCTTATTTTTGAAAGTAATGTTTATATTTGTTTATTAAGTAACATTCTATATTTTAATGATGTTGGTAGCATTTATAATTTTTTTTTCTACTCCCACCTTTAAAACGCCCATTATCGTACATGTTTCATGACCTTTTAAATACACATTGATAAGTTGTGGCTTTATGGCGCTTTAGTCACTCCAAGTCCTCATAAAACATTTTCTTTACTTTCACTGTGAAAAACTGTCAATTTTCAAGAAATACATTTCAATTTATGACCTTTATAATATGCGTTTATAAAATGTAAAAATCTGAAACACAGATTCCTCTATTGTTTCATAGATGGTGCTCTATACAAATTTTTGATTTAAATCATTTTAAGATAAAAAAAGATAAAGATAAAGATAAGATAAAGTATTTGTCGTAGAAAAAGTATAGTATGCACCTCGTTTATAAACTTTTCTATACACTCATTAATTTAAGAACTCGCTTGCAAGCTCGCTCGTGCCTAAATTAAATTTGTGTATAAAATGGCGTTTATCAAACTATTATATACACATTGACAAGTTGTGGCTTTATGACGCTTTAGTCACGGACTGAAGTTGGCAACAGGTTTTTAGTCACAGGCTGAAGTTAGGTTTAAGTTAGTTGACAGTTGTCAAATGTCATACAATCGTTAAAATAAAGTGCATTTCTTGTAAAATAAAACTTAATGTGAAAATTATTTTATTATCTCAATACAAAAGTATAAAATGTGTAGTGATTTCGCCGTAGCAGTGCAGTTAACTAGATTAAAATTTTTGCGTACAGTGCCCATAAAACATTCTCTTTTTTTTGCTATGAAAAACTGCTTCTATATTGATTGTTCTCTTTTAAAACGATAAATTTTGACTTACACAAAAAAATTTGAGATTTTAACGCCGGTAGATTCATTTGTTAGAAATTCTAACGGGAATTCAAATAAATTAAACTGTTACTTTTTGAACCTTTAGTTTTTCCTGTGTAAGAAAATTTAATACTCTGTGATAATATTTTGCAATTATAGTGATAAAAAAAAATCAAAGTATAATAAATTTTCTTTACATAATATATATTATATATATTTTGTACCAATAATTGTAAAGTTTAATTAAAATAACAACAGGCAATACTAATGGTGTAAATTACCTCAAAAATGTTTATTGGGATGGTTACTTTATTTTTGTATAATTTTTTTAAATAATATTAAGTATTAGTCGTGAAAAAAGTATAGCAAAAGTATGCAACTCGTTTATAAACTTTAACTTTAACATGGCGTTTATCAAACTTGAAACATAATATACTATTTATTGATATATATTTAAATCCATATACACGCAATAAAAATGTTAGACCCAAAATATAGCAATAAAGAGTTACCTTTTTAAAAAATAAACCATGCATAATTATACAGGTTTAAAGTCAATAAAAACTCAAAAAAACAAATTTAATTAGTTGCCATATTTCTACTGATGTTTGATAACACAACTTGCTAGTCTAGCAGACCCACACACCGCAAAAAATAACATAATTTTGCTTGTGGCTTTAAAATCGGAATTACTATTTAACTATGAATGCTAACAAGTTGCGGCTTGGATTTAACAACCTGAGGTGATGCGTTTTACCCTCACAAAAGAATAATTTTCATTTAACAAATTAGGTAAATCGTTTAGCCAAATGTTGAATAGAGGTAATTTGCACATTATAGGAATAGTTGGGTGTAAAAATAACTTTCATCAAGCGTTCTATAATTTAAGACTTTTATTATCAACGCTCAGTTCCAAAGTATTCCATTATGTCCTATAGGACTATAGACTATAGTCTGTTAAAATAATACAGACCAATCAGGTCGAATTTTACTTTAGGTAGTTGGTATCACCGTCATTGGTTTGGCAGTTAATGTTAAAATCGATTCGCCATGCCTTCCTTAATTTACTTATTTACAATAAGCGGCTGTTAAAGGAGAAAAAAGCATTTTCTTTGGTGTTAAACAACAACAGCCAACCTATAAAATTAAAATTTTGGGTGGGATAAAGTATCCGAAAGCGGTGTTATAATTAAGTCAGTATAAACGCAAAGTAGATAAAGTAAATTAATTCAGGAAGGCTAAAAATGTATGTATTCATTTATAAAAAACATTGTGTTGCTCATAACAAAATATCTGTCAATAGTAATAAATGTTGATTAATCATATTGAGGCAGAAAACCATGGATAAAAGAAGGCAGATAACACATAAACAAAAATTAAAATGGACATATCTGACGCTCCACTATTCGCATTAGTATCGCATTAACTCAAAAAATCATAAATTGGTTAAAAAATGGCCGATGTACAACTCACATGATTAATTTTCACTGTTTAAAATGTTGCTAGCAAAAAAATTCAAAATTAGTTTTTTTGATTTTTATTGATTAGTAATGGGTCGTTTTCAAAAAATAACCGCCTTCCGCTGTCCGAAAGTTTGAATTCCAATAACTTTGTTAAAAATTATCGGATCTTATTGATTTAACAACCAAGTGAAATCCTAACAAGCCCTTAGTAAACTCTTTCAGAAAATGTTTGTTTAGTTATTTCAGAATAATTTATTTTTAATTTTGAAACTTGTGAAACACACATTTTCGCATGTTCCATTAGCGTTTTATAAAACTTACATCCATGTTTTTTTTTAATATTGAATAACCAGAACTTTGTGTTGCTTTATAGCAATCCACAACATCCTAAGTTAATACAGTAAACAATTTATACATGTATGTATATAAAATAATTAATTTTAATCTACTTTTTTTAAATTTGACTCATGTCCCAGACATTTTTTCCGTTGCGTTACGTCCGTCGCGTTACCGATAGAATATTAAAAAAACATATATGTATATGGCAACTTTTTTGGCACTCACGTGATCAACAAATGATGTTCGGACGTACACATTACCCAGCTGAATTTATTTATTCAATCAGGAAGAAGATATCGGTTGAAACAGGTGCGTGTAACGCGAATGTAATAATTGTTTGTCTGCAAAGTTACTCAAAAAAATAATAAAACTAAGGTAAGAAAAAATACTATTTTTCATGTTTATGCTTATTTTAGGACACTAAAGCTCATTGAGAGTAATTAATGACTGTAATGTCTTTGTACTTTTTCCACTGCGTTACCGAGTCCATTATGTTACCTTATGGTAACGCAATGGAATTTAGGGTAACGTAATAGAATTTTTCGACAACAAAGTGGATATTTACCGTCGTTTTATTAAAAGTACTTTATGATAAACCAATTTAAAATTATTTGTGGTTACAACTCATGATATAGATTACATCCAAGGGAAAATTCCACGCAATATACAAATACTAAAAGGGATCTTCACCAGCTTATAGTCAAAGAAAAAGGGTGTCTACAATTTAGAAATTCAAGTTGTTATTCTGCAAGTGAGCACCACTACAAGGGATTTTGTTTATGCATTACTCTAAAATCATACCACCCTTTATAGTTTCTTTTTTACGTTATCTGATTAAGTCCGTTGTGATACCAATGTCTATTTCGTTACTTTTTTTTGTTAAAAAAATACTTAAAATGATTTTTATACACTATCACTTGGTAATACGTGTTTATAATTTAGAGTTTAACTCACTTATTCAGTGACTTAAATAAAAATATTAATGGTATTGTTTTTTTAACAAAGAATTGGAATGGTTTCTTTTAAAAAGTAACTTAACGAACATACATATTTAAAAAAAGCATACAATTTTTAATAAAAAATTAAAAATTGGAGTCAAAACTTTGTGAACTAAGTATATTTTATTTCAAATTATTTTTAT